TCTTGATGAACAACAGGAACTTCAAACACGCAGATATTGACCTTTTCTTTACGGATATATTAAACGTCGGCAGCGCTATTCTTATCAAAGAAGCCGGGGCCGGATCATTGAAAATAATTAGGAGTTTGTAACGTCATAAGCCAATCACATACGGGTTCTAAAGATAAATCCACCAATCACAGAGGTGAAATTTGGGTGTTACATTTACTTAGGCCGCTACGTGTCCTCAAGCGCGTTTTGACAGTAGGGCTTCAGATTGCAAAAGCTACCGTTAGTAGACAAATGGTTATAGTTCATCGCGCGTCACTATTTGTAGAATGTAAAACGTCGTCGAGCGCATAACACTGCCAATAATTACTCAGAAAATCAATAAATGCAACTAGCCACATATCGCGTTCCTCTCTAAGCTTCCATTTAGCTCATGTGATCTACGTTTAATTTGGTACTGCGGGGGTTGGCCTGATTTGATTAAAGCGTTTTCATCATGTACAGTATATATCTTCATTTACTTTAAATAATCTTTTCGGCTTATGCCTGTTTATCGCAGTTATTAATTACTTATTAATTTATGGGATTAATTTAAGTTATGCAGGGCGTCAAGAAAAAATATTATAAAAATATATGATCCCTGTCTTGTACTAGAATGCACAATTATTTAACTTTCTACAGATCAAGCAAAGTTTCATGACGGTGGATGCGATAAGGATGATCACGAAATAACCACAGTAACATGAGTTTGAAGTCACCGCGCATGCACAGCGTTCTTATGATCCACAGCTCCATTTGGGCATCAAGTTCATTTGGGCCCCAAATGCCTGCACTTGTTTGGGTCCCCAAGCCATAAAGTGGCTCTATATGCCACAATTACTTCGTTCCATTGGTACAGGAATGTGTAGCAATGGAGCTGTTACACGCTCATATGCTGCCTCTGGAGTTGGTGTGCAGGATGGCGCCTGGTGAGCCCTTCCTTCCATTTAAATAGTCCATTTCTTGTGTGGTGTCATAGCCCTATTCGAGTCTTTCTAGTTGTTTTTATTTTAGATGTTAATAACTCAATGTGGGCGAGCAGAATTGAAAGTTCACATGCCAGACCCGTAGACCGCTAGCAATAAGCCGTACACCTGATCGTTAGGACGTTCGGTCGGAGCGACATTATTGCGTTTCATTCCAGCTCCGTTGGGTTTCAGCGGCGGAAAATAAGCGGCCAACGTTCGGGTGGCGACTTCGCAGCTCTGATTTGAAAAAGGTTGAACGTTCCCTCCTAGCGCAGCTGCTGTATATCAGCACTGTCGATAACTGCTTGTCCTTGTTTTCTTCAAATCTTCAGCGAAACGCAAGTCAATGCACCGTGGCGCTGGTGAGATATGAGCAAACCAGGGTAGACTTGAAGAGAGTTACCATGCAGGAGTGAACTTCTGAAGTTAGTAATTTATGCAAAGATTATAATACGTACATAAAGAGAGTTTGTTGGCTCTTAATAATGAGTATTATCACTATATGATAACCGATGATTAAAAGTAGAAACGGCAAGTACGAAAATATTCCATGTCGAAATAGTGTCCTTAAAATTACAGAATGCATCAAACGATGCAAGCGTGACGGCAAATTCTTCTCGTACGACTTCAGTACGAGACAGCCGTTACATGGCATGTAATGTCGATTATAAAGACGGGGATTACGAACTGTAAGAATGCTAGGGAATAGTATAAATTTGTTCATATTTCATAGTATTTCATTTTCATTAAGAGCTTTTCGAACTTTAGGCTATGCAAACATCCGAGATTCATTCATTCATGTTTTAGTTACGAGTGGGAAGGATTGCTGCACGGCACAACGCAATTGTACAGACGTGTGTTACAATTATATTGTGAATAATCTGAAGCGAACCTTTTTAAAAGGTTTTTATCTTAACTGAAACCATTTCACGACCGTGTCGTGATACAGTGATAAATAAGTAGTCCCCTGCAAGAATAATAATTTTAGCAACGAACATTCGCATTTGAGTTTCATGTTGCCAATTGTGGGATACTTGCTTGAATTGTGATGTCATTAAAGTAACCTTTAACTTAAATCAAACGGAACATAATCTTCTTTCGTTTGAATGATTACGCGTGAATGGCAATATTTTTTTCACAGAATTGGCCACATGAGTTAGTTGTGTGGTGTTCGGTAACTTTTAAATTATTTCACTCTTCTTAACACATAATTTCCAGCCACAGGATGATCCTCGATGGATCCAAATCAATATTGAGCGACATTACACACCTTCTGCACTTTCAGAGCTTTATCTACCCGGCACTAGGCTCTAACGCAGCACTTAATTACCTCCATTTTAACGCCATCCACTTCGCAAACCTTCAATTTAACGCTCACAATCTCCTCCCTTTCCACTCCTCTACTTCACCATAATAAAAGTATCCAATCTGACGTCAGGTCAGATGTGACAATTTCTGCCACACGAGTGGCTGGTAATGGATTTTAAAATCGATGTTGTTTTAAAAAGCACGAACTAGGACCGCACGTAATGAGTAATTGCAGCAAGAAAGCAAAGAAGCTTTCAATTAGTCCCTAAGTCCGATCATATACATACCACATTCGTTACTGAATATAGAAAAGGGCAACTAGGCAACGCAGACATCATGGCTAATTTAGGCGGAAAGAGGCGGAAGAACCGAGTTGATCTGGACAGTGAAAGGAGAAAATGATGATGAAAACATGATAATTCGCTTCACTTACCTCGAACAGTGAAATTTCACTCTTCATTGCAGTAAAAGTTCTACAAAGAGAGTAATCAATTTTTGTCGTGACCAAGTTTCCCTTTAGTGGACGATTCCAAGATACATTTTGTACAAAATGTCTAAAAAAAATTTTCACGTGGTACAAAGTACAAGAGAACTTTTATATGTTACAAGACGTCCCTAACGGCAACGGGACGCCGTCTCAAACTGGTTGACAAGTCCCAAACCGTAAGGGAACGTGCCGAAATGTGCAGCAATGCGTCCCAACACGAAGAGAACGTCCCAAATGCTTTACGACGCCACATCCGTGCAGCGGCCTTGCAATGCTGCAGCTGTTCAATCTAAACTTCCCTGCTATGAAACGATCGATGGCTGATTATCCGATCTTGGTCTCCGTTTATTTAAAATTAACTGAAATCACCATACTTCAGACTAACTATTTTGAATACAAATTAATCTTGATTAGATTGATGATTAATAACGCCTAATTATTACATCTCCATCTTTTTTAAATCGTTCGTGGGATTAGTAATTATGTTAAAGCTTCAAAACACTCCTCTCTCTCGCAAATTTTAACATTAATGACGAAGTACTGACTAATTAGTGCGTAAACAAAAGAAATATGAGTTCAGAGCAATTTAACTCGAAATTAGGTTTTTATGCATTCATTCCCAACAGCTAATCAAGAAGAAGATATCAATGAATATAATGTTTAGTTCAGCAATAAAATTATTTTCGTTTTTTACCTTTATCCTGACTGAGCCCACGAATGCATTCTGGGGTTCAGACTCGCCCAACTACCCATAAAAGTTTACACACTTTGTCGGTAGGCGAGAACTCGATCGCGTTACCAGACCTCCAGATACGCACTCTCTTGACCTCACCTAACTCATTTGAAGACAAAACGTTAACCCTTGGACCTGATTCTGTCCTGCAATTAATTTATGCACAAAATGTATTTGTCCTGAACTTTCCAGACTAGAAGTCGTATAATACAAATCTTGTGTTTGGGCTAGGTCAGATGTGACAATTTCTGCCACACGAGTGGCTGGTAATGGATATTAAAATCGATGTTGTTTTTAAAAGCACGTAAATATATAAAAATAGTATAGATAAGATAGTGATAAGAAAAAACTCTATCGGCCACCGGAATTTCGAGAGAGTTGAAGCAATGAGCGCCACAATAACATAAAATATTATCCATTTCGTCAGTAATCTCATGCATGATTATCAGTGTCTACATGACCTCAAATGAGGCTGAAGACGATCGTATTGCTGAATCTTGACCGCACTATCAGCGGCCGGCCTTCAGTCGCACGTATCAGCGTCTTCTCTGCTCTCTCAGCACCAGCATGTCTCAGTATTTAAAGTTCCAGCCTGGCTCGTATATTTCGGTTTTGTCAATACAGGCGGCGAGTGAAGCTCATTTGACGTCATGCGATCCATAAATCTATAAGTTATCGGACGTAACGAGTTTTGCGGTACGTCTTTGGGCGTTCCACGTCTAGTGACATACACACGTCGTGCAACGTCACGACCACTATTGTCACAATCATTTTCACCGTGCACATCAGATATTTAATATCAATCTTTGAATCGCCAACGCTTTATCTTATCAGCTGCCGCTTCTGGATGAAAAAGTCGGGGCCTGGTCCTAGTAATGTCCCAGGAGTCTATCAATGTATAGCCAGCGCGAGGATATACCCTGCACTTCATTAAGCCACCCAATCCCTGGCTACACGCAGCACACCTTTGACCTTAGCAATCCACGCCTACACTCCATCTAACACTTTGTCTAAACCTCCTCACCTTGAGATAATGAAGGCACTCACTTCGTGGCTACACTACATGCTACAAAATTAGTATACAATATTTTGCTACACTTCATACTACAAGGAAGAAATTTAAATCCATGGCTACATGATACAGCACCTTCATCCATGGCTACACGCTACACACATTTGACGACATTCAATCAGAGGATGGCAGCACTTTATATCCCAATGAAGGGTTCAATCCATGGCTCAACACAATACAATGATGGAGTGTTCAGAAAATTCGTCTATCGCGGAGATCATAAAGTTTAGTTGATATTATAGGAAAAATCGTAACACTGTAGAACATTATATGGTCTTTGCAGAGTAAAAAGAACACAACATTTCAAATTCGAGGTAAATTTTAAGTTGTACAGTATTGTTTGATAGAAGTATCCAAATCATTCGCAATTTACGCATACGCATTCGTTTCACACACAGTCCAATCTTACCTAAAATTTGAACAGGGGTGGATGATCCAGTGACCAGCTGCTTTCTGTCGTATGCGTTCTTTCATTAGGGCTTTTTTCGAGCCGAATAATTTCATAGCGAGCTTGTTGTCGGTAGGTTGGAACAGCGCCTGTAGTTGGTTCTTCAAGAAGGAGGGCTTGGTCTGCTCGATGCTCGGCGTCTGCGGCGCCGAGGGCGCCTGTGAAGGGCCCATCTCCTCCTTCGGCGTGCCGTAGAGGGAGATGTCATCGCCACCGAAGTGCACCTTACCGGGCTCCTTGAAATTCATCTCGTGTGAGATAAACTCGTTCATGAAGGCGGTCTCATCCTCCAGGGCGGTTATGAGTGAGTCTGTGCACGTGGTCGTGTCTAAAGAAATCTTAATGTCTTCCCTCAGGGCCTGTGAGGCGGCTGCTGAGCGAGGCGAGCGAACCTCTTCCTCGTCAGAGCCCGAGACGCCGGCCGCTCCGCTCGCTCCAACCCGGCCATTCGCGAGACGCAGACTGGGGAGCCGCTGAGCCCGTCGGCTCACCATCACCCGTGAGACTCCGCCCCCGGACGAGGTACGGGCATGCTGCTGCTGCTGCTGGGGGTTGTCTTGTGACTGATGCTGTTGCTGATGGCGAGGGTACTCGGCAGTGCCGTTGTTGCTGCCTGCTAAAGACACGCAGCTGTAGCTGCCGCGGCCCGAGCCTCGTCTGCCCTCCATACCTGAAGCGCCACCATCACCGTTGCCGTAAGCCGCGCCGCCTCCGTTACTGTTCGCTAAACTGTTACCCCCTAAACTGCTTCGGTGGTTGTTGCCACCGAGGTTGTTGTTGCCGGTGCTGGTGCCACCGCATGCACCACGGCTGCTTGTGTCACCAGGGCGAGGACTCGCGTCCGTCTGCTGCTCAGACTCCCTGCCAAAGAGACAAGAAACAAATTAGTGTTATGAATTTCGGTGCTGCTACACACTATTGCCTGTAGTAGACAGTTGCATCTCACATAGCATTGCGAAGAAGATAACCCACCGTGAAATTTACCAAGAACAACGAACAAAAATAGGGTTCACAAATTTACTGACCAACTTAGGCCAAGGTTAGGGAACAATGTTTGTAAAATCATTGACGAATACTTACTTTCATGTTATTACAAAATATTCCAATGAGATTGCGAAAATACGCAAGCAAATTGCTATCTACCGTATGAGACACGCCCCCGTCTATACAAAATTCAGGAGCGACCGTCTCAATCCAAATGGCGTGTGCGAGCATTTGCATAATTTCTCTTAAAACAATGTCCTGAGATCAGGATTCCGTACTACCACAAGGAGAACAAGCGCAGAACAATCGTACTCGATCCTTCGCGTGAGTTTTGTAGCTGCGCAAGATTCTCTATTGAAGCGTCTATCCGTACACTTGCACCCAAGAATTTACCTGTAATGCTATTTTGAAACTTTTTATCATGATTTTCCTACTGAAGGATGGAGTTTGCAGCTAAGCAGCATCAAGCACAAAGAAAATATTTTATGGAAAGTGCTCGTACAAAAATTTAGGATCGCTGGAAAAATCGGCATCGACTCGTTAATATGGTTTAACATTTTCTTACATTTTAGGTTATCAAATCAAAATATTTGATGTGAAGGTTCAACTCGGAGCCTGCACACTGCACGTGTGCGCACTAAGCCCTGCATCGATTCGTACCATAAATTTTGCTATGACCTTGAACGCTACGAATTAATTCAGAAATATTGCATGCAAGCCTTGATCATGAAACGAACAACAATCCCAGAATCTTTGAGGAAAGTTATGAAACTTTTACCTCCGCAGGAACTAAGGCAAACACATTTCATTTTTAAAGTGACTTTATGAAAACCAGTTTGATTCCACAAACTTTTTTTCGGTTCCTGGAAAGTTTATTTCCTTTTTCTGTTTAGAGCAACCAAATCGCAACGATTCATGCGGTGGACTGCCAAAAACATAGAACCTTCACGGCTCTCCGGAGGCGAGAAGTTCGCAAACTTCCTGACCTCTTACTTGTGAAGTAACAAGAAAAAAATGAGGTGACACCCCAAGTGGAGAGTAAATCGCATTTAGCCTTCGTAGTGTTGCTGCAGCTCCATAAATATGGCAAGCCTTCAGGTAGATATGTTATGCGCCCACCACGTATCCAGTTGCACTGTAGAGCTCAGTAAATTGACGAACTGACTGATGTTTTAATTCTTAGTCTAGCCTGAGAGTAACTTTGTTTCAATATAAACTAACCGCCCAGCAAAGGAGCACCAGCACAGCTAGTGTACTAAGGGAAGAGTTCCACTTCGATGAACTCTTCGCTGTGTTTGTCTTGAATTCTGCGTCTTTCGTCTGTCGCACTCGAGTTATTCCCTCACATTAATTGTTTCAAGCTTCAGTTGTTCAAGAGGCTGTGCTATATTATCATCAATTTTTTTCGGTTGCTCGATTTATAGCGCTAATTGGACGATGCTTGGACCGCTCTTAAATATAAAACTATACCCTAAATGGGCCTGTATTCGCGAACTTTCTAATGATTGACCTTTTAACGACATGTATCATTGCACAAATATGGTCAAGACTCAAGATAACGAAATTAACATGAGCCTTCTGTTTTAAAATAGAAGGTAATTAGAATTGCGGTCCGTGGTTCATCAATATAATAATAGCTACATTGGAAACAAGCTTCTGTATACATCGGAAACAAACCTTCAACTATATTGAAACAATACAATGACTATATTGGAATTGGCTGCTTTTACACCAAGAATTTATTAAAATGACGCTAAAATTCCTGATTGATCTAAAATGCACTCGTTCCTGAAGGAGTCAAGAGGAAACTCATCAAAGCTCTGTGACCCGAATCAAGTTGAATTAATTATGTCTTCATAAACACGTTTCATCCCATAGTATTGAAATAAAACTATGGAACACAAACGATACCCCGGTCGCTCGCTCCCGGGGATCTCATAGTTTTATTGCCTAAAACTTTACACGAATTTCTGCTATTATTGATGCCAGACTTGCAGCCAACTCTCGCTTTGATCTCTAACTTAAAACGCGTATTCTGAAGCTATATTCAGTTGGGCTCCGGCGCGCGTGCCTGAAGTGTTATCTTGCAGCGCGTCAGCTGAATAATATGAATAGAATGAAGCTTGGCTGGGACAAATGCTTTGAATAACTAAACATTGCGTTGACTGAAGCGCTTCGTTCTTCTTTGTTTATCTCAATGAATATATAAGTTAATTTCTCGCAACAAGGCAAGGCAAATTTTTCTCCATAAACTTTGAGTACTGTCATTTTGTCGTTTTTTATTTCAATAACTGTTAGAGCGCCACATTTTAGCGTTTTTTTTTTGTAAAGTCAACGGCCGGTCCCGGAAAATTCTGCGATAGAGTTCTCGTCATCAGACATTTTCAATTTACATGAGTCCTTCTCATTTACAGCAACGGGGTCCGATGGGAATAAGAATTTGAATAATTTGAATTATGTGAGACCGCTATACGCGCAACGGCGATTTGAATTCACTGCCAACACAATTAATTCGTCATTGTAACATCTCTCTTAATTCTTAGTCGAGGAACTCCAACATAGTTTCAGTCAAAGCTTACGATGCTCTTCGTGTTAGATGAAAACACAGCAAAAACAGAGCGCTAGTCCATCATCATCTCAGTGAAAGCAAAACAATTGAATCCATCATCATTGATCTTGTGTTTGCTCCCAATGATTGCACTTCATTCTTAATCATCTGCCGTCATCCGAGCGAGGATTGCTGCTAAGCTCTGGTCGTTCATTTGGCCAGCATGCGGTAGATTTAAGCAATTTTAAACTCTCTGATATACGTCTCCTTATTAGGAGAAATAACCTCTTTTCAAAAATAATTTCACTCAACTACCTTAAAACCTAAACAGTTTTACCTTAAGAAGTTTCAATAAATAAATTTAGTTGCAAATAAATAAACAATTTTTGTATACTTTTGATTCAGTGTTGCTGGAGCATATTTCGGCGATTGTTTTCTACACCAACACTGAATATGTATATAACATACAAGTTTAACGATTATGATTATTACAGAATGTTGAACAGGCAAGCATGAAGAAGTCGGCAGAATGTTGAACTGGCAAGCACAAGGAGGGCAAGAGTGCAGCAGAATGTTGAACTGGCAAGCAGGAGGAGGGCACGAGTACCGCATAATGTTGAACAGGTAAGCACGAGTGAGCACGTTTCAGTAGCGCCCACGGTCGTTATCAGTCTCTCCATATCGATTTTCATGAACCTAGTGAAGAATTATGGCCGCAGTACAGGCGGCCAGCCATGCCCTGTGGGCCATGATTTTTAGCAACGCATTTCCCACACGGGATTAACATGCAAATTTAGTTGAGATGTTTGTAGAGCTCTACGTTTCGCTGCTGACGTATTTTCATTGTTATTTTTGTGTTAAGGAATGAGCCGGCATTGACGCAAAAATCTAGCTTAAATGCAAAGGTATTTCGGAAAATTTGCATCACTCTTTCCTTCTGGAAGTATGGCTATGAATATACGGAGTTTTCGAAATTTTTCATTCAAATTGAAAGTTTAAACGGTCATGAAGATCACCCGGCTTTCTCTTTAGATCCTAGAGTCTAATTATTATTGATATAACATAAACACATGCGTTCCAATACACTGGCTCGAGTGAAAACCAAAGAACGCATTTTAGCGGCAATGTTCTGGGTTGTTTTTGCAATCAGTCAAACGGTATTTTTTGCTTTCATCGCTGAATCGGAAAGAAGGAATTCGAAATACATATTGAATAAATTAATGATCATTCGAATGTGATAAAATTGGTTATTAAGTTTCAAAAGATTTAATTCTGAGATTTTGATCAACATAAGTACCTACACGAAATAGGTATAAATAGGATACTGCTAGGAGAATTGAAATTCAAAATCACTCCGAACACAATTCCAAAGTCATGGTTTGGAAATTGATAGACGGAGATTTATTTCTTATGAGAAGGGCTTCAGCTATCGCCAGTCGATCAGTGTCGTGGCATCGCAGGACAACGCATCCAGCACCATTTCAGTTTACCAACGCCAGCGAAAGGCGAAAAAAATTAGATCAGTACTCACTGCAGTTCACTGAAGTAAGTATACTGATCTAGTTTTTGAAATGCGCTCTCTGTCCACAATAATGAAAATGCGCTCTCTGTCACTCACGAGTGACAGAAAGCGTTTTTTCTCACGTCCGTCCGTGAAGTCACGGACGGACGGATATGACGAGCACAATAGCACCTTTCTTTCCATAAATGAGAAAATGCGCTACAAGAAGAAATTATAAATAAAATTCATTCCATGATCTTTAGTAGAACTTCAGTAAAAATACATTTTATGTAGATACGCCAGCGGATAAAATCTTATTCATGTCGCATAACTCCAGACGCGTATCCAGGATGCCTGGGTAGCGTCTGAGTATTAATGTGACATGAAAACTGAGGAAACAACGTTGTATTTTGCCGCGGAGGAGCCGTAGACTTGAACAGGAATTGAAGTTTGAGGCAAAGCAGAACGCGCAACTCCTTGTTGGTTAAAATGCCTGCGTCAACTGCGATGGATTAGTAGACCGAGGCTCGCGACGTGTGGGATTCTGGCGACGACTCTTCGTCAAGCAGCGAATCGTCGTCAAGCAGCTACTCAGCAAGAGACTCATCAACCGAAGCCTCATCCTCCTCCTCATCATCCGGTGACAGCAATGATGGGAGTGATATTGATGAAAATTCCGGTTCAAGCAATGACGTCGCAGTTTCTGAAAGTTTCTCAGCAAGAGACCGTCTCCCCTTTTTCCCTCATCTCTCCTATTTCCCTCATCTCCCCTCTTTCTCTCATCTCCTCCTCTTGTCAACCGAAGCCTACACAACCTGCGTTGTGTAA